CTCCATCGACCTCATGGAAGCCTACCTTCACATCATGATCTCCCCCAACCATCGCAGGTTTCTCAGGTTCTCCTACCAAGGAGATCATTACCAATACAGGTAATGATTTCAGCCTGGCTTCTGCTCCCAGAACCTTCACCAAGGTAATGGCAACTAGACTTTCTTGTTTTTTCTTTGAAGACATTTTGCTTTTCATCCAAGAAGCTTCTTCAATTCTGACAGGATAGTGGGGAATGGAAGGATTTATATTCCTTGCAGACAGCTGGTCATTTGCATCCTTTTAGAAGGTTGTTGAGGCCACTTGGAGGTTTATCTGTGTCCTGAGAGTCACCTGAGTGATGCTCCTGGTTCCTGTTGTCTGCAATTTTCCCCTCTGGAAATCCATTCCTACTCCCACACCATTCAAAGGGTGCTCATCCCAAGTTGTAAAGCTAAAAGTCTGTAGAGATTCTCAGTCATCCAGGTCATGGATGTCCCAAAAGTGCTTTTTCAGGAGGCAACTGGACTTTCTTGTTTTTTTTCTTTTGAAGACATTTCTTGCTTCTCATCCAAGAAGCTTCTTCAGCTCTGACAGGATGATGAGGGATGGAAGGATTTATACTCCTTGCAGAGAGCTGGTCATTTGCATCCTTCTAGAGGGTTGTTGAAGCACTTGGAGGTTTATCTGTGTCCTCAGGGTCACCTGAGTGGTGCTCCTGGTTCCTATAGTCCTTGTAGGGATTGGAAGCGTTCACCAAACATCAGAGATGAAGAAGCTTCTTGGATGAGAAGCAAGAAATGTCTTCAAAAGAAAAAACAAGAAAGTCCAGTTGCCTCCTGAAAAAGCACATTTGGGACAGCCATGACCTGGAGGACTGAGAATCTCTAAAGACTTTTTTCGCTTCTCAGAGTTACAAGGTTTGGGGTGGCCACCTTTTAGCCTTGCGAGGTTGTCCATGAATTATCCCTATGTTCTTTTTGGAGTTCGCCAAATAGTAGCCATCGCCATGTCTTATAGTAAGGAGTTCCGCAGGTTATGTGGTCCCTTCCATGAAGAAATATTTTTCTTTTTTGTTCCGAAATCAGTTCCATTGGAACTGGGTCCTACTCTTTCATTCCTCCTGTTTACAAGGAAATAATTAATTGGGTGTTTTTTTTCATCTTTGCAGGCTGCTTTGGGTATTGCTCACCTCATAGTGATGGCACTAGAGAAAGAAGGGATTCCCAGAGAAGAAGCTGTTAAGAAAATCTGGATGGTGGACTCGAAAGGACTCATTGTCAAGGTAATTGTCGGTCCCTTAAAACAGATGCCAAAGGGATTCCGGAGATGCTACAGCACCTGTAATTGCGATTGGTGAATCTGTTGCTGAGACATAATGTCACCTGTGTGTGACATCTTATGGTGGCAGTTCCAATAGTCCAGTTGCCACCATTAGAAGAATCCTGCTTGGTTGCTACGTGCTGCAGGCATCTGCTCTCCATTTGCAACCCCCTGCCCTTAGAAAATAGAATACTGTATTTTTCGGAGTATAAGACAACCCATTTTTTTTCCTCTAAAAGAGGGTGAAAATTTGGGTGCGTCTTACACACCGAATGTAGTCCTGACCACCCACCAGCCTTCACCCTTTGCCCTCTGCCTCCCAGCAATTTACCTCCTTGCAGCAAATGGAAAAATGGGCTTGTAGATTAGATTGGATTGGATTTATTACATTTATATGCCGCCCTTTTCCCCGAAGGGGACTCAGGGGACTCAGGGCGGCTCACAATTCAGTCAGGGAAGTGGGTACAAACAGGGGATAAAAAGACGAACATAACAATACACAAGCCCATTT